TGTGTTGTTTGTTTGTCTACTTGATTTGTTTGTTTACTTGCAGCTTTGTTTGTTTGTTTATACTAAAAAGAACACGCATCACTGTTTGTTGTTTTTGGTATAACAATTGGTGATCTGTTTGTCAGGGGTTTGCTAAATTTCTACTTTTTGTGCCGAAGGTTGTAAAAATTTAAAAAGTTTCTAGTTGCTACAAAATTTACTAATAAAATATACTATATGTTTCTAAGAAAATTTTTTTATTTTTTACGAAGGTTTCTTTTTTTTTGGAAGGGTTTTGGTAGTTTGTTAACTTGTTTTTGTAAAATTTAATAATTTTTCTTAACTCTAAATTTGGTACAGAGGATTGGCAGAAAGAGTTGTACTATTATATAATTTACAAATTTTGAAATATTGCAATTTGAATAGAATTAAATTATTTTTTTGAATTAAGTTAGTTAATTTAAAGACATTAAACTAATAATACAGAATAAAATAAACAAAAGCAAAATATAGCAAATATATTTAATAAAAAGTTAAAATATTTGAATTTATTAATAATCAAAATATATTAAAATTTTTATTATATAAAAATTGATATTTTTATTATTCAAATTATTCAAATTATTTCAGTTTGTTTTAAATTATTTTATCTATTTCTATTTTACTAATAAATTTTTACCTTATTTAATTTAAATAACTTTATACTAAATTATTTTGAATCTTTGTGAAATATTTTGATCTATTTTAAATCAAATTATATATTTTATTTATTTATAAATAAAATTCAGTGATAGTCTTTTTTTTGATTTCTTAAATATTTAAGGTTTTTAAATAATATTTATATTTAGTTTTTTTTATTAGTTTTAATTATTTTAATTTATTTTAATTTATTTTGAATTATTTTGAATTATTTGCTTTTTTATTTTAGTAATTTATCTTAATCTATTTTGAATTATTTCAAATTATTTTATATAATATTGCATAATATCTTATATAATATTGTATAATATTTTATATAATATTGTATAATATTTTACATAATATTGTATAATATCTTACATAATATTTCATAATTTTATATTTTGCAATATTATACTTTATTAAATTTGCTGATGTAATAAGCTCTAATATATTATTTTATTTTTATATTTAATATTATTAACAAAATAAAAAAATTTAAAAATTCAGATATAAAATTGTTGCAAAATAAAAAAAAATAAATAAATTTACAAAAAAAAAAAAAATTAAATAAATAAATATAAAAAAGTATTAAAAAAAGAAAATTTATTAGTTTACACATAGTATTTATATACAAATGCTAATTTATTGATTTAAAACTTTGTATAATATACTATTTAAACCAATTTTTATGAAAAAAAATTGAGCCTTTGCTTATAGTTAAGATAAAGGTAAGTTTGGAATTGAAATGAGAGTAGTTATATTAAAATTTCTAAAAATTTTTTTTTGTTAGAAGACAAAAAGTAGTTTTCTAATCAAAATTTTGAAATATTAGTTAGTTTTTTTATGCCCATATATATACATTATGTGTACAAATGGAAATACTTTTTAAAAAAAAACAAATAAGCAAAATTTAATAAAAATTTTAAAAATACAAGTACTAGTAAATAATAACCAACTAGATAAAAAAGCTTTAAATTTATTTTGGTTGTTATTAAAAAAATATTATAAAAAAAACAATAAACAATTTTAATAAAGTTAATAAAAGCTTGTTATTAATATTTTAAAACTTTTTAGCAAGTTAAAGAATTAAAAAAAAACAAATCTTTGCTTTAGCAAATTGTATTTAGATATCTTGATAGTTAGATAAGTTTTTTTATATTAAAAAAAATACATATATAATTTTTAGAGTAGATAGATACTTATATAGTACAGTATAGTATTTTGTATAATAAAAGCAAGATTGCCCCAAATATATATATATATATTGTTTTTTTGTAAACTAGATTTTTGCTATTATTTTATACTATATATGTTTTAAATTATAATAATTTTATTATATTAAATACTAAAATAATTGCAAAAAACTTTTGAATTTCACCAATCTGCATCGTGTAACTTATGTTAGAGATGTTTGTGTCCTTCTGTAGTGTATATTATAAAAAGTTTTTTTAATTTTTTAAAAAATACATTAGAATTTAAATTACAAAGACAAATTTGTCTTTAATTTATATATAAAGAAGAATAGTATTACTTTTGACTTTAATTTTGTTTAATTGAAATACGTATAACAATAATATATACAGTATATATACAGTATATTACAGTATATCGATGTATATATATCGATATTATAGTGATATTTATATCAGATATCAATATACAGTATATATATTGTATAATTCACTCGTGATCAAATGTAGTAGTACTATTTTTTTTAAAAATTTGGAAAAAAAATTTTTTTACAAGATTTAGGAAATCATTTATAATTCCATCAACTTTTGATACGTGAAAAGAATAAAATTTTTTATTGGACTATTCTAATCCTAATAACAGTTTTTTTTTTCTGATTAATAATACAGTAATAAAAGAATATATATATAGTAAATTGTATAGTGAGTGAATCAACATCCAATAGTTTAATGCACGTAAACAACATAAACACTAGTTTTATTGTATTTTCCAAATTAAAAGCGAACAGTGGACAGTGAATCAAAAATGACGATATATAACGCATTATTAACACATGAACATAAAATGACAGAGCATTTTAAGATATAATGAAAGACCACTATTCGGTTTATATAAGGTTTTTTTTTGATCACTTAATTTCTGTAGTAGGTTTAGAAAGAAACTTTTTCCTAGAAATTCTGAAACACGTACAACAAATATGCCAAAGATAATGAAATTCCCGATTAAAATATTTTTGTTTTTACAAATAAGACGAAAGTTAATATTTGTACAGGAGAATTTTTTCGAAGGGAATTATTAGTTCAGATGACTGATCATGAGATTATCCGGTGAAATTTACACTATGCAGTTAATTTTTCCTATTTTTCCGGTAATGGAGATAATGAAAGATAACGATAATGAAAAAGATCATGAATAAAAAAGTCTTTTAAAAAAAAAACACACACAAATAATGGATTACATTTCAGTGTCGTAATACAGTAGTAATATAGAGTAACTAGATTAAAAGAATCGAATATTAAGAAAAAAATGGGCGTTCCACGAACGCATTAATATTAAAAAAGCCAATTTTTTTTTTTTTTTATATACATTTGTTAATATGAATGATACGTAAATTTTACTATAAATGGCTAATTGATCGAAATTCTTAAAATCCAGAAAACATTAATAGAACTCAATTAAGTCATCCATTGTCACAATTCGCCGGCCAATTCTGAACACTAAACATTTTTTTGATTATCGACTGTTTCAATTTGGAAATTTCAATGATTTGATGGAATAAAAAATTCAATTCTCTTTTTAACAATTCCATTTTCAAAAATTGAAGGAAACATAAATAAAAATGTATATTATGGGAAGTCACACGAAACTTCGCTTATATAGCTAGGTTTTGATCCTCCGTGCCCACAACAATTCTTTAACACTCTTTTAAAATTTGCTTACATTCTTTACAAACATATGATATCTGTATTACAACCCACACTACGCCAAGTATTATTATCTTTATCTTTTCAAGCACCTTTTTTATCTTTTATTCCCTCGTAAACAAATATGCATTGGACTCCGGGTGTAAGTGACCTTTTCGTGTTAGTTGTTTTGAAGGTGCAATTCTGACGATGTATTGTTTTTGAAAACAGTTTTTACTTATTTCCTTGTACGATGCACAACTTTGTATGCTTTTTATGTTATATGTATACTTGTTACTGAAAGTATGGTACTCTTTTCCTAACTTTCTAACAGGAAACAAATGATTTGGAGAGCGCGGTGATATTACTACGTCAAGATAGAGTTGATCATATGGACTGGGATTTAATACACAGTCACTTAGTCCAAAAACATAACTCACGTCGTTCAAAAAAACAGCTACAGGAAAAGTAATTGTCAGATTAAACAGATTAAAATTATGATTTCTATTTCAATGTTTTTTTTTTTAAATTCATTATACCAATTGTAATCTTGATCTTATAAATTGTTAGATGGCGAAATTATCTAAAAAGTGATGGTATTTTTAATTTTAATTTCTTTATCTGAATATATAAATTATTTTTTATATGCTTTTACGTCAATTTACGTTAATTTACGTTAATTTACATTAATTTACATTAATTTACATTGTTTTCGTATATAGTAAGACTTCCTAACGGTCAAAGATTCAAATTTAGCCTTGAGCAAATTGATTACATTAGAGAACAAAGAGATACTCATAATAAAAGTTGGGCAGAAATTCGAGATGCTTTAAATAAAGATCCATGTATGGAAGTAAAAACAACTCCAAATCGTGTAAAGAATGCTTATCATAATGCGACTAAAAAACGACTCAGAAATCAAAGACAAAATATACAAGGTTAATTAAAATTTATTTTATATGCGTTCATTTCTGATCTTTTAAATTAATTTTTTAAGGATAAAATACTAATAATGTTTTATTATTACTTTATAATTATTTTATAATTACTTTATAATTACTTTATAAAGACGCAGCTGTAGCGAAATCAACGGAGGCAGTTCCTCTTGTATATAAAAAAGTTTTTGAGGAAGGTCATAATGCATATTACAAAAATCCTAATATATATAACGAAGCTGATCCTCATATAGATAATGAATCGATTAAAACAGATTCAACAAATTCAACAAACTATATAGTTAACCGTGAAGTGAATAAGACATATTTGATAAATTCTATGGTTAACCATGAAATAGTTAAGACAGATTCAGCAAATTCTATTATTAACAAAGCATCATTAGATTTCATTTTAAACGAGAAAGATCGGGAAAAAAAAGAATAGATGCTTATTAATTTAATTCCCTTAATGCCCTTTATGCCCTTTTGTATATTGTTTTTTTTTTTTCTTTCCTTTTTTTTTTTCTTTTTTTTTTTTTTTTTTTTATAATGTTCAATCTTCTTTGGTATATATATATTTTGTTAATAATTAATCGAGGCCTTTTCTTTTATTTAATAAATATGAGAAGCTTATATGCAATACGAATACCATTGACTGTTAAATAAATTGTTATCGCATTTTAAAAGTATACATTATCATATCACATATTGAAACTTAGTGAACATTTCTAAATAGATATTGTATTCTATATTCAGAAATAAATGCTAAAGCATTTATTCAAGCAGTTTTTTTTAACAGTACAAATAAATTTCAGTGAAAAGAGTTGGCGTTTAATTTTTTTTTTTAATGTACATACTGATTAACTATATTGAATCCCATTCATGTGTTAGTTAATTTTGAAATTTGATTGGAGGTTTATAATATTAATCATATATTAATCATGTATTAATAATTGTTAAACACTACCGCTACGTAGCCAAAGTCATATGAGGAAATTCATTTTTAAAGTAATTTTTTACTTATGATTTACCATAATATTAAAAGTAATTACTATACGTACGTACGTACGTACGTATGTTTAATCACATGATAACGACTTAGGAGAGAATAACATTAAGGATGCTCCCTCAACGTGATTCGAGTTGTTGCGGTTAATTGAATGATTAATGCGGTTAATCAAATAACGACTTATTAAAAATTTCATAGTGAGAAATTCATAGTGAAAGTTGCGGAGTTTAAATTTCAGCCAACCAGATCAACTCGCTAGCAACTCTATGAAAAAAATCACCTCCAGATTTTATTCATCAAAAATGAATGGTAACTCACTTGACTAATTAAAAATTTGCCTCCGATCTATTGAGTGACTCAGTTCATTTGTTCCATTGCTCAATTTGAGAAATTTTTTAATACTGTATATCTGATATTAAACTTTATTATATAATTTATTCTAACAAAATACTGTATATTAGTGTGATAATATATTGCATTTAGAATACCCATTATCACGAATTATGATTGGCTCTATAAATGCAATTCTTTATAAGTGTACATCTCCCGATAACGTGCACTCTATTTAGTATATAAAAAGAAAGTGCTTTATTACCCTCTCTACATAAAGAATACTCTATTTCCATCAAATAAAACATTAGAATATTAAACAAAAAAAAAAGAAAAGAAAAAATCCGAAGAAAATTATATAATGTAGTTGGTTAGTTTAACAGATAAGTTATTGCCATTTTTTTACGAATGCTATCTGAAGGAGGGGCAAGAGTTGTCGGTTGTTGTTGGCTGTTTCCAAATTGAGGATAGACCACTGGATGATTTCCAAATGAAGAATGGTCTGGTAGTTGGCTTCTTCTTAAGGATCTATGAATAATAAAGTTAACAAATTTTAAATACTGTATTTAAATTAAATTGAACTGAAATTTTTTATAGAAAAATTTGTGAATAATAAGCACAATTTCCAAAATCTACTGAACAAGTATTTTTGGATTGTCCCTTGTATGCACAAAATTAATTATTTATACCGAATTTGATTCACTAAAAAAAGAAAACCCCATTTTTTAATTAATGAATCCGGATCACGTGATATAAGTAGGAGAGGAAAAATATATATATATATATACTCTGTTTGCGTTGAAGGTTATTCCAATGATTGCGCACCATAATCGGACTGAAACCGGGGAAAGTTGAAGCGATAAGTTTCCATTGACGACCATGTTGTCTATACAAATCTTGAATTTTTGCGGACTCGGATGGAGTGATTCTACGTTTATTTACTAAAAGATTTGTTAATTAGCATTTGTTACTAATAAAAAAGAATATGAAAATTTAAAAATTAATATATACTTGCAGGATTCTGATGATTCAAATAGCTAAAAAAATAAAAAAAAATTTCCAATTTAAATACATAGTTTTTTATTTTTGAAAAACGCATTTACATAAATTTTAACTTACTGTTCCCGAATTTGACGCTGATCGCGTGTTTGCCCCATATGTATAGCGATTAGTCTCCAGTTATAACCATGAGTTCGAACCAATGATTGTAGCTTTTGTTTTTCCTATCAATATATACATTTAATAATTTATATTATGTAGTTATAATGTAAGAACTAGGTAACTGTAATTACTTGGTCATCCCAACGACCACACTTTTTTTGCGAATCCATGGAATTTTTAGTTCAGTTATAAATTAATAAGGATGTAAAAAAATCCAACAAAACTAATCTTCTTTTAATTAGGTCAAGTAAGCATACGATAAAAAAAAAAAACAATGTAGTTTTTCATCTTTGAGAAGATATTCACTAAAGTTTAAGAAAATAAAATAAAATAAAATAAAGTGCTTAAAATTTTTGAAAAAAAAAAAATATTTACTCCGGAAAGGTTAATATATATAATCAAATTTATCATGTGAATATATGTATGGATTTGGATTGAAACCAATTTTTGGGTACCCAAGTCTGTTTAAATAAATATACACCATTTCATTATCGTTATGGTAATTTATCAATGAGACTTACTTTTTTGAAACTATTGAAAAAACTTTTTTTTTTTTTTTGCATATAATGTAACAAAGTAAATACAGCCCTAACCTTGATCCAAAGAAAGATTACCCAACTTCTCATGAAATAAGTAATACATATCCATGCAACATGTGAAAAAAGAATAACCGATATTTGACCAATCTGTTTTTGTACAACCCAAAATTTTAAGATAAAAAATTAATTTTTTCGAAATTAAAAAAAATTAAGTGACAGGTATTAATTTGTTATTTTGAGATTAGAATTTTAAACCTTTACCTCGAATTATTTCGATTTAATTTTTACTGTATAAAAGATAGCTTTTATTAGTTTACAAAGCTTAGAATTCATTTGTAATTACAAACTCCGCACATATTACACACTTCTCGTGATGTAATCCAAAATTGTCAACATCTTCTAATTGAAAAAAAATAATAAATTTACCATTTATTATAAACCAATCAAATGAAACTGCAAGAGAAGGATAAAGAATTGAACTGAAATGGACGCGTCTTACCAGTTTGAGTTAAAAGCAACCCTTTAGATATTGTTTACATTTTAGGCTAGGTCAAATGATAATTCACCTATCTGTTACAAGGAAAGATGCAATTGTGTGAAGTACGTGCGTACGTACATAAATTCTTTCTTTTCAATTGGTTCTTATCATTAACTAGATTCAAAAAAATATGGAATTAACTACTGTATATAGGCATAATTGTTAACTATGAGCAAGATTAATAAAGAGAACGCTATATTGTCTAATTAGTATATATATACTGTAGTAATAAATACTGTCTGTATTAACCCTAATTTTGGTTAACTCTTTATTTTATTTTATCATATATCTATTTTTTTGGCATACTGTATTGATCTTTCGATATTTATAATATTTTTGAGTTAAAATATTTAGTGAATTCTAGAGTTTTCAAATTAAACAAAATTGACACGAAATAATTTTTATATCTCACCTGATCGGATTAATCTGCGGAAAATTTTCAAATAAAGTTTAAATTATTGTATAAAAAAAGCAAACAAATCAATTAATAAAAAGGAGTAAAATGACTAACATTACAATGAACATTTCATTTAAGTTTTTTTTTTTTTAAAAAAAAAAAAAAAGATTGCTTTTATGTTGATAAAATGGATCTCCGCGTGTTTTATTTACCATACATGCTAATTTATTTCTTTTTGATATTATTCTTTGCACGAAATAATCACCGATCCTCAATGAATTAACTAAATTAACAATTATTTACGACTTTTTTTATCTTTATAATGAATTAATTGATAATTATCATTAATATCTTTTTTTTTTTCTTTTTTTAACTAAAAACCTATATGCGCCGCATATCAAAGATTTGAATCAAATCTAAACATGTGAGATATAATTTGAACGCGCATTACGTGTAAGCTTTTTTTGTATCACCAAATTAAAAACGTTAGGCACGTGTTGGTTTGATTTATAGATTGGCGTTCAAACAAGGGGCATGAAACGCCCAAGGCTATTATTGTTTAATCTAGTGTATATTATAACTTCATTGTCTTATAAGTTCTCATACACAAAAACCTAGTTATGTCTATACAATACTTTAACTAAAATTGGTCGACGTAGACAATGTAATGTAACCCATGATGTAACCCACATGTTTTATCATATGACCCGAGACAGTTCCTTGGAAATGAATGAACTTTTATGACATATTACGTCAAAGCACAAGTTTCATTATCGTTAAACAATGTAAAAAAAAATAAAAGATTTCTATTATGGTAAACCAAAAATTAATTACAACTTCCTTATCTCTGATTAATTGCCTTTATCGTTATCGTTATTGATTAATTGGTTTTGATATTATACAGTAATTTGTATCTGTATATACATACAAGGAGTTGTGCTAAAAACATCTATCCCCGACCTTATAAACTCTACAAACAAATGCTTAGGGATGTTGTGTCATGTAACACAAATTTCTCAATTTTTCAATTTTTCAAATTTACATTACGTACTGTACGTACAGTATCGGTATCTCGAATATCTTGGCGGTGTATGTAACCGTATACAATACAGAAATATGGTCAAACATCAAGAGAAAACCAGTCTTTAGATTTTAAAATTATAACTTTAATGCGCTTCTAAAAATATCTAACCAAATAATGCCGGTAATTGGATTTTTTAGAAATCTAATTCATTAACGTTAAGTATTAAGTTACGGGCTCATTGTTACAAATTAAAAGCCTGAATTCTAATTTTTCTCAAAATCTTTGCGAGTAGTACGAGATTTAAATCTGTAATATGCTTGGGGTTTGATTGCCAATATATAACCTTATTAAGTTAAATTAAATTAGTACACTCTAAGCGTAAACTATCGGGAACCACTGTATTTAGAAAGGTTTTGAACTTAGAAAATTTATCTCGATATATGCTATATATATATAGAATATAATATATATAAGATAATGCAATTTAATGTAGCAAAAATTTTTATTGGATAATTAAAATAACTTACTTTATACTGCTACGTGTAATAAAAATTTTATATTTAGTAAAAGTTGTATTAAAAAGATTAATATATTTTTTTGATCAGAATTAAATAAATATATATTATAATTTATTATCTACTATAAATTTTTTGTAAATACAGTATATACTGTATATAATAAAGAGAAAAAAACCTAATTTTTTAAATTATGGTCCAGTGCAAAAAGATTTGTACTTTAGACATAAAAATTAAAATTTTCTATATATAAAAATTTTTTAATTTCAACTAATTTTTTATGCCAAATAAAGTGAGTTTCAGCCATCTTTTGATATATTTTTTATTACATTTTTATAGAAATTTTGTTGAGAAATAAATTTTTAAATAAATTCAATTGTTTTAAATTTTTTTAAAAAATTTTGGATTTTAATCATTTTTTGCTATGCATATGCTAAATATACAATTAAAATTTTAGCTTAATTGAATCAGTAGTTGTTAAGATATAAATTTTTAAAGATTAATAACTAATTTACTATATAGTACAAAAATTGTGCAAAATTACTATATAATTTTGTATAATTTTTGTACTATATAGTAAATTAGTTATTAATCTTTAAAAAAAATTGATTACTCACCAATAAACAAGTAAAGTTCACTCTTTCTTTTTTAAAAAAAGATATATTAGTTGTTTTGGCTATTTATATATATTTTAACTAGGTGCAAGTAGTTTCTTTTATAGTTTTTTGCATCTCTTTTTTTTTAAAAATTTTCAACAAAAAGTAGGGATTTTGGTTTATTCTCTCTAAAAAATTGGCATTGTTTACTTTTCAAATTTAGATGAACTTAGTAGACTACAACTATATGTCTTGTTTATTAAAAGATACAGTGTTACTTTATATAACTTGAATTGAAATCTTTAGTTAAAAAAGTATTTAAAGTTAGTTAATAGTTAGATAATATATATTAAGGTATTGCTTTATATTAGAGATATATAATTGTTATATTTATTATATAATTTTTACTTTAATTTGGTATGAGTTATAATAATGCACTTTTTGTTTTTTTTTTACTACTTTTTAATAGACTCTTTGTTGGCTTCTAGGCTTTTCTTTTTGTTTTCTTTTTTTACATATTTTTGTTTTTCCTTTTTATTCCTTTAAATTCCTTATTTATTTAATTTATTTATTTTTAAATATAGTTCTTTTTTTCGCCAATAGATAGCTTTTTTTTTTCAACAGTCATATCTTTATTTATATAAATTTTATATAAACTGAAATACTGTATATATAATACAACAATTTTATTACATGTAGTTCTATCTAATAAAGATTTCTCAAACAATAATTGTCCAAGACAACTTGTTATAACAACTGTTCACTTCTTTTAGGATTCTTAACTTTCTAAAAATTTAATACTATAAAAATACTCTTTTGATACTTCATTGGCTATTGTATACCAACTATAACTATTAAACTTTTTTTTCTTCTCAAGAAATATAAGACAAAAGGATGAAATTTTTTAAAAAAAATTATACAAAACTGAGTGAAAAAGAAAAATCAAAAAAAAAAAATACACTAATTGCAAAAAAGAAAAATCAAAAAAAATATAACAATCTATAGAGCACTATTATAATTCATATTAAGTAAGTATAAAAATTATATAACAAATACAATATTTGTATATCTCTATTGCAAGGCTTTACCTCAATATTAAAATTACTCTCTCCAATTTTACAACCAATCTGGATAACTTTATTGCCTGTCCTAATTCATATCTCAAGCCAGGTGCTGCTACTATTCAAGAACCTATATTTTAAATCACCTGCTACTATAATTAGAGTTTTCAAGCTAAATACTATAAAGTAGCTCTATATCTATCCATAAACAAATATGTATTGCAATTTACTGGACTATCTGAATTTGGTAAATAAACAATTATAATTTTTTGGAGGAGGTAAACCAAATCTTTCACTTTTTGTAAAAAACTGGCAGAAAAGTGAAAATAAGTAAAGAAAGAGCCACTTGGCTAAATAAAAAAATATGGCTTAAAAATAGCAAGTTTTTTACTGTTCTCCAGTTATTTAGCAACAGAATACTTTGTCAATGAACAAAAACCATATTCCTCAACAAAATTTTATATATAAGAGTATATATCTCTAGCCAGTTATCTGTATAA